GATCAACTGTTTTTATTATATAAACATTATTATTATCATCATCTCCTAATAAAAAGTAGTCATATCAACAAAATATGGCTTAATGTGACAGAATATTTTATAGTCGAATAATTTGGGGAAAAAATGCATGGAAACGATGAGAAACCTTAAAGGATGCTAAAAACTATTTCACTTGTCACATGGTTTCAGTCATACGTCGTCACCTCCATTTTTATTCCCTAACTTCAGATGCACGAGGTAAAGATCAATCCAATAATGTCACCTTGTTCCCCTCCAGCAGCTTGACTTTGACTGACAGGTCGTCTCGGAGCTTCTCGTACTTCTCCCTCTGAGTCTGGAAGTCTTTCTGGGCCTGCTCCAGTTTGGGCACGGTGACAGCATCACGGGGGCCCATGTTCAGCTCCTCCAGATCGACTCGGAACGCATCATACTCGATCCTGGAAGACAGGAAATTGACACGGATGTGTGCACTGAAGCTCCCTGTTGTATTGTAGTGGTTAGGCATCTCTCATTTGATCTCAATTTCCTGCTGCGTGGGTGCAGAGATTGACCTCCCTGCTTCTTTCTGGTTGGATGTTAGTTTGATTGCAGAGTCACTGTCACAGCACATGAATTTATTGAGAAAGGGAAAAAGGAAGTGTGCTTTTTAACCCACCTGACAGTCTCATACTGCTTAGCATTGATCATTGTGTCTTCAATGGTTTTGTTGACCAGTGTGTTCATGTCAGATGTGAAGGCGTTGATGGCTTCCGTCAGCGTTTCGCCGCTCTTGGAGAGAAACCTCTGAGCGTCTGCATTTATGCCAAACTCCAGCTGGTATTTATATTACAAAGAAAATGTAAGGTAAGCATGACGCATAGAGACATAAAAGCCACATCAATGGGAACTATAGCTGGTTAAATGAACCTGAATCATCTGTTAGGTTAGTTTACAACCAGAAAAATGGCAAATCAGTTGAACCCGAGATCTTTAATGGCGATATCGTCCTCTGGATTCCAGTTTATGACTGGACAAGATATCAAAACATTTCTTAAAGATTTCTTAAGGTTTACATGGACTCTGTGTAGCTTTTTCCATATATTAAAGCCTTTTTATCACCAATTTCTTAAAATGCTGTAAGCTTGTCTGACTCTCCCTGTAACAGCTTGAGAGATTTCAGTGTGAA